ATCCAGACCCACTAGCATTCTTCATTCCTTTACCATACACAACTGCAGGTTTGGAAGAACATGCAAGGTAGTCACAGTTCAACCAGTCAGTGATTCTGCTTGGCTCAAAAAAACATGATTAGTCACAATTGGAGTTCAATGTGCCACAGGGAGACAGCAAGTAGTAACAAAGGTGTACTGACTGTGCAAAGTGGCTGCTTTTTCCTTTCCTTTCCTTTCCTTTCCTTTCCTTTCCTTTCCTTTCCTTTCCTTTCCTTTCGTTTCCCTTTTTTTTTTTTTTTTTTTGCAAACTCACATTCTGTCTCCACTACCCTATCATAGCATGAAAATGATACACTGCTGGCTCTCCTATCTGGACATGCAGTCCCGTGGGTAGGAAGTGGGGAAGTTGCCTTCACGTGCATGCTGAATGAAAACAAGAGCAGCAGACTAGGTCAAATGCACCTCCAAAGACTCCCTACAGTGTGGTGTCGTGGTGAGACTGCTGGACCAGGATTTGGGAGATCTGGGTTCTAGGCCTCATTCAGCCATGAAACTCGCTGGATAATTATGTGCCAGTTAACTACTGTCAGCTTAACCTACCTTATAGGATTATTGGGAGGATACAGTGGAGAGGAGGAGCAAGTAAGCCACCTTGTGTTCCTTTCCAGGAGGCCTTCAACAGTTCTTTCCGAGTCTTGATCAGCATTCCCCTTCCTGGTGCAGTTTCTCTCCCTTGTCAGCAGTACATGCTGGAGCAACGAAGGAGGCTTTGGGTCCTGCAGATCCATGGCACCCCCAGCCCACCCCTAGAATGTTCCTTTTTGTCCTCGTACCGGTGACAGGAGGCACACAGATACCAGCAGAGCTGTCTGCTGGCATCTCAGGGGCTTCCTGGGACATAACTGCTGCCTGCCACTACAGGGGCACTTGCACAGCATCCTGCCGGGGCCAGCAGGTGGGCTCGTGGGCTTCAGCCTCAGTCCAGCTGATACCAGCACGTTAAGCATTCAGCCATGTGCTCAAGCACTGTTGATTTTAGTGAGTTTTAGGTTGTCTGAATAACTTAATCTGCACTACACCTGTTGAATCTAATTTCCAGTCACTAGTGGAAATTCTCTGCTTCCTCCTCTCATTCTGTGACCCACTCTATTAATTTTTGTTCTGTTGAGGTAGGGGTGGGGATTTTGCTATTTTGTGTTCAAACAAGATTGTAATTATACTTCATCTATGCATAATGACTGATGATGGTAAGAGCAAACCATGTATTTTACCTAAAGCACTCAGTAATATGGATGATATTTAATGGCAAGTAGAATTTGTATTATGTATTATGTGAGATTAGAATGTGGGATAAGAAAAAGGAAAAATGCAACCTGTTAAAATTATTGTAATGGTTTGTTGCAATGAGCCTCTCCAGTAATGCTGGGGAACCTTTAGGTTGATGGGTTCTTTTTCACTGGAATGCTGAGATCCACCAACTGGAGCCAGGTGCAAGATAGTAGCTCAGGAAAGCAGACATGGAATTGCAAAACAAGGTGTCTTGGAGCACATACTCGGTACTATACAAATTTTTCAGACACAAATCTGCTCTTACTTCCCTCAAGCTTCCTTGACTTCAGGAGCTTAATTTAGGAGGGGAAGAGGCCTTTTGTTACTGCTATTGTCAAACCATTTTAGGTCAGAAAGCCTTGTGATCTACCAGTAGAGCCTAATCTCCCATCTACCTGCCACACTGGGGCTATTATGTCTGTACATGTTGAAGAGCATATTCTTGTGTGGACTTCTTGTGTGGAGTTCTTAATGATGCATTGACCATCCTGTCATATTCCTGACTGGGGTGGTCTTTCCTACCTTTTCCATGTATAATTGTAGTTTAAGCATCAAATCTAATCTGCCTTGGAAATTGTTCATATGGAACCTGGGATGGTCATCATTTGGGATGAATTAACGTGTTACCGGAGTGGTATGTGGTGTGTCTTGTGGCATTCACTATTTTAAGTGTTGCAGTTAGGATCTGAGTGACTGATGCAAGATCAAGGCAGTGATGTTACATATTTTCTCCCCCTGCCCCGCTCTACGTATGAGCTTTCCATCACCGTCTTTCCAAGCACTTTCACCAAGTGGTTACCCTTCCCTTGCTGATGTGGCTTTTGTCTGCCATTAGACATAAAGAATTAATGCTTGCTTGCTTCCCTGCCCTGTTGTTGCGTATGAGTCAAATGGAGCAGTATACC